GTGTGTGTGTGTGTGTTAATGAGGGCTCCTGAGAGAGATGGCAGCTAAGCACAGCTGATCATGTTTGAAATGCACAGAGCTGCCTGCTACTAGAAAGCCTCATTAGGTACATTTGCTTTCCTATACAAACAACAACAATGCCCCCCCCCTCTCCTTCTCCTCCTCCTTCTCTCTTCTCTTCTCCCTTACAAAGACAAACTGGCACATTCAGTTTTTGCATGACTAACTCAAATTTGCTCAATGCCAATGGGATCCTGTTAATTATCCTTTTTTTTTGTGTGTCTTTTGTTACAGAACTCGATTCGTCACAACCTGTCCCTCAACAAGTGTTTCAAGAAGGTCCCCAGACAGAAAGACGAGCCAGGGAAGGGGGGCTTTTGGCAAATTGATCCACAGTATGCTGACATGTTCGTCAATGGCATCTTTAAACGCAGGAGGATGTCTGCTAACCACTACAATAACAGCAGCAGCAGTGGCACCCATAGACAGAGCAAACTGGTTCAGGGTTATCAAAGCACCCAAAATGGCTTCCCTTACCAAGGGGTGGGTGGCAAACGAAAGCATCTGCCCTCTAAAAACAACAGCAAGGCGATGAGGGCGACTGAGTCTCCTCTTTTGGGGACAGAAGCCCACAAAGCAGACATCCTGAGGGGGGACTTTGACCTGGCGTCCGTGTTCGATGATGTCCTCAGCGGGAACTGTAGCACCTTCGAGGATTTGGACATCAACACGGCGCTGAGCTCCCTGGGCTGCGAGATGGAGGTCTCCATGCAGGGGAGGCAGCACTCGGCGGCCTTGGGGAGGTGGTGCGGAGGAGGGGACATCATGGGTCAGAGTCAGCACCTGAACCATCATCAGTCCTACGGTTACATGGAGCTGAGCGCCGCCGCTTCCATGGACTGCACGGTCAACATGGGAGAGCTCCACGTGCCGCAGCAGCACCCGCAGCAGCAGCTGGACCAGGATCAGCTGCTCCAAAGCCACCACCACCACCTGCAGCAGTTCGACGAGGCCTCCTCGCTGTTCTCGGAGCAGCCCGAGGAGACGGTGCTGCAGCCCTGGGAGGTGATCAAAGAAGAGGCGCAGGCGATTCCTCTGACTCTGGATCAGGGCTTTGGCCTGTGCGAGGGCTTCTTCACAGACATGCAGCCGTGGGAACGAGTGGAGGCCTATCTGTGACCTTTGACCACAAACCTCATTGACTCCTAAATATTTACACCCAATGCCTGGAACATCTCTGATTACTGGTCCAACTCTATATTACCCCCAAAAGGATAATCAATAGGACGGTTAGAACTACATCCCGGTTCCATCTGCATTCCCTCCAATCATTCTGCAATACTCTGCATTTGTAATTTATTTTTTGTAACATTTACGTGTCCTCTTCAAAGTACAAACCTGATCATGTCAAACTTATCTTGAACTGGAACTGTGAACCCAGCTAAAAAAGACTTTGATCTGACTATAAACCCTGTAAGGGATTATTTCCTGGCTTAGACTCCCATTTCTTCATGAGGGTGTCAGGTGATTGATAGGAAGCAGTGTGTAACATGACACAACACTGATACATCAGGCACAATGAATGACAATACAACAGAGAAACTTCTATAAACCAAATTAAAGTTTCATGTGGACTGACTGCAAGGGATAGAATGAATGACAGCAAATGGTTTCTTCAGAAAGAAGAAGGGGTGAAAAGCTGCCTGTGTGCAGAAAACAGGACAAATGATTATCCTTTAAAGTATAAAACTATAACAGCTCAAATGTCAGGCAGCTGGTAATAAGAGAATGTGTTCAAATGAGTGCTGGAACTGGACTGAACTGCAGCTATCCGTCTCTCCGGGGTTTTTGATTTTAATCGTGACAATGACAGAAGAAACCCCAAGCACCCTCCTTCAAAGCACTCTCCACAAGCAAGCACTGTCACTACGGGACTGAGAAGACGTGCAGGATTCTATTTTGCTACATTAGCATTAAAAAATTTTTTTACTAACATGCAGTGAAATCAGCCATTCATCTCAGTCTATGTTGTGTGATGATGAGAGGCGAAGCTATCAGAGCAGGATGGAGAACTTTAAATTCATAGTCTGAGAGATTAGAAATCAGTCATTTATGACTTTGTTATATAGTCAATTTAATATATATTCACTAAAGTATATAGCATGAAGCTAGGCAGGAACATTTGCCGTTTGCTACAATTATGTATTGCAAAGCAAAAACAGGAGCAGGCCTGAAATCCATCGCCTTCTTGTCAGTCATGAAAATCGAACATTATGCACTTTGATAGGCAGCAGTTTTAGGAAAGCAGAACAGCTTCTTTTTTTTCCAGGATGTTTAGTTTTATTTTTTATTGTATTAAAATGATGTTTTCTAAAGTTTACTGACCATAATGAAAGTGAGGCATATGCTGTAATTGTCAATATCAGTTTCTTTTTGAACAATCAACTCCACACCGCAATAAGTCAACTTTTTTTGTGCTTCAATGTAGTTTTTTTTTTCTTTCCAAATATATACAAAACTGGGCATTTGTTGATTATATTACGCCAAATTTGTTGATAAAGAATATGCAGTTCATTGGTGTTTCTGTGTTGATTAATGACAAAAAAAAGAGAGTTGTGTTTTCTGTCACTGGGTGATGGATTTCCCTTTGTCCTTATTGATTACTTTGGTGTATGTCTTTTTTTATTTGTACGGTTTGTTTTCACAAATCTGAATTTCAAAATGATTGAGAACCTAATAACTCTGTTGGTTTGAGGGGACAAATGATGAGCAGGTACATATAAATTCAACTCTTAAAGGCCAGATTTTCTTATTGTATCATATTGATCAAGTTTGATACCAGCTCTTTGATCTTTCCATGTTATTTTCATTTGTACTTTTTTAAGCTGTTTAAAAATGCAATCATGCCTTGATGCAATAAATGGTGTCAATTAAAGAAAGAACAATAACAAAAACGTATCATTCACTTGTCGTTAACGCCACACATTATAGAGCGCGTTGTTGTCAGGATTATTGTTTGAGTTAGAGCTCTGTGTGTGCAATCAAGAGATAAAAAGGCCTGTCCGGGTTTATCAGTAATCAGCACAGACAGGTCTGGACTCACTTGGTATTCCAAATATACAGGGGGTAGATATAATAGCATTAACCGCTGTACTATATAATGTAATTTGATACATTAGCCAAATAACTCATTCTACCTTTACCCTGAAATGTATTTGATAACAGTTCAAAGAAGTGTGTATTCAACTCATTTTTGAGACAGCAATATAACTTTTTCACAGAAGATATGCTCCAGTTTTAAAGTCCTTGTATCGATGCATGCTTGCTTACTGGTACACTTTATGTAACTGAGCCATCATTAATGAAATTATTTCACCTGGGCTTTTCCTGCCAAGACAAAATGTCTGCCATGTAAAAGGTCTACTCACGATTGACTTTTTCCACAGCAGCCATTTGACGTGAGTGTAGCAGAGCCTTTCCAGTGAGCCGAATGCACAGAGGCAGAACACAGACAACGTCTGACCTCAACGGAATGGAACCTTGATTAGTATCATTGGTAACACCTATGTTTACCCTACTATTTTATGTTGAAATGGTTGCTGTGAAAAAGGCGTATTTCACCCAAGATGATGATCACCTTGTTGAGTAGAGAATGGTTTTTGGTGCAAGTGAAGCATTTGAGGAAGAAAAGCTTGAACATTAGATAAAATTAACGACAAAAGGTACATTTCAATCATTGGTCTTCACAAACAAGACAAAGAAGGGAACAAGATAGACAGTCATCAGCCAAATGAGCAGCTTCCTGACTCAGGGGCCCTGAGGCTGTACTCTGGCTGTATGGTGATTTGTGTTAAATGCTAACATCAATACTAACATGCTCACAATGACATTTTATCAACATTCTGATGCCAAGCCTGTATAATGTTTACCATATTCACCTGAGGTGGAAAGGGGTGCCAGAAATATATGCTGATATCTGCTTGGATAAGCCCCCATTATTGTGGCACACAGTAAGAAGAAATATATAAAGGTGGCATTAGAAATCAGATTGTTTTATTTCCAAATCTTCAGACGTTTTCCCAGTCAGTCTAAAATGTGGCCATAACTTATAATTAAATTATATGTGTTAATATCTGTCTTTTTAACATGTTATTTTTAAAATTGATCTAAATGAATGTATTAAATTTGACAGCATTTGACACCAAACTGGGGTGGCAGCTGGTGTGGCACGACATTTTTAGGAGTGGCAGCTGCCCTGTGGATCTGCCCCTGCATATTCACTCTTACTTTAGTGCGTAGCATTCTAACAATTGCTAATTAGCACTAAACATTTCTGTACAAAAGAACTAATTATTTGCAATATGCAACAAGCAGTTAGTGTGAGAACTTAAAAGTAACCTGGCTTAGAATGTACAGCCATGCTAGCACCTCAGAGAGGCTGCACTGATTGTCTGCTTCACCTTGATTTGTATCAGTTGCTTGCATTGTACATCCCTTACTTTGCATGATGCTTGCTGTCCTATTTTTATCCTGTTCAGCTGCTTCATGTTTTCCTTTCTCCTGTTCCAATTTTACATTGTGTGTGTTATTATTGTTTTAGAGATGAATTTAACATCTGGTTAAAGGGCAGCAATTGAAAGTTAGAGTTTTGGCTAACACTGGTGCATTTACAGTGATTTGGAGAAATGTGCATTGTCCTTGAAAATAAGAACATTTTTCAACTGATGAAGGAAGAAAAAAGGTCAAGGATTACAGTGATTAAAATTCACCATCACAAAGGTCTGTACCAAATATCATGTCCATCCAAATGTTTCAAGAAATAGAATAAATAAATAAATATACATCAGATCAGATAAGAAGCAGTCTGTAAATAAAAGCCAAAGATCACAGTGTTAAAGGTGCGTTTAAGACGTGATGTGAATGATTGTCCTCAGGCAGGATTCCTAAACTGTGGAGCCCTTGGCTCTGAAATATTCAGGAGTATTTCTGCCTGAGGATCCCAAGGGTCATGAGAGGCCAGAAGTTCAAGAAGTTAACTCAGGGCCAATGCCAAGTACAATCACTATGTCTGAGTTTGGTTCAAGTTCACATTCTTTACAGCTAATCATAACTTTTGATTGTGTGCTTCAGGGTCAAATCAGTTTAATGAGAGGACAAACAACTCTAATCAACACTTTCGTCAATTCCAAATTACTGTTATGGAAAATAAATGCACTGCACTGTTAGAAAACATTTATTGGTGCAAAGGTAATTAAAGAAAGATTACATAAAGCTTTTAAAATATGTGTTATATTGGAACAGAATGGGAAGAGTGCAGTTGAAGTGAGGAAGCATCATAGAAATGAGACAGTGTTATTATCACATGAATGCAGTGTTTCTTTCTCTCCAAAACTAACCAGTTTAAGGCCATGCACCCACGTGGACGGCCTACTCCAAGTTATTGACCCTGCATCTATCAGTGCAGTCCGCACAAAAACAGCCATGTCTCATAGCTGTTAGATAATGCCCTCGAAACTTACCACCACATACTTTCTCACCCTTTTCCAGGACTGTGTTTGCATGCCCTGTATGAAAATGTGCTTTTCCACCTCAAATCTCTTTTTAATTGAAATTGTTGGAGGAAAAGGGGAGAAATGCGGCTTATCCCTGTCCCTCTGGCTCACGGCTCCCAGCAGCGACAGGGTCATGTGTGGAGATCTCCAGGAATGGGTGGAATAACTCAGATTCCTAACAACAGCAGGGACTACAGCCAGAGCCGAGGCCGAAGCGTGTGACCACTGACCATTGTGCGTGGAGAAAATCACTCCAGCTGACAGAGAGCCTGATCCTGTGTCAGTTGCAGGTAATTTCATACCAGTTATAGGCCTAGAGGTCACTTCTATTTGCAGTAAAAGTGAGGAAAGTTGAAGAAGAAACATCAGCATCGCTATCACTTGAAGGGTATAGAGACATCCATTGTATCCAAATGTATGTGTGTGAACTTTCACACTTGTCTCTGTTTGTCTGTGACCGTGTGCACATGTGCGGTTACATTATATGCCCATAATGTTTGTGCTGGTCCACATGTTTCTTTGTCTGCACTCAAGCTGATGTGTGCGCTGCCCCCTGTGCGTGTGTGTACACGGCTGCGATCGGAGCCCCGTGGCGGCCCAGATAACGCTATCTCTGTGGAGCCAGAGCCCCGTGGTTCTATTCAGCGTGGTGGATGAGAGGCTTGGACTGCCCAGCACGCGGACCTGCTCAAAGAAGGAGGAACAAGCTGGGCTGTCACTGTAGGCTAACCTGGCTTATAATGGTTTATACCTCCTCCTTGGTGCCCCTCTTGGGGGGATCTGCATCGTGTTTGTGCGTTAGCTCGGGAGGGTTACACAGAGGAGGGCAGAGCAAGAAACAGAGACAAGAAGAGGGTGTATTCGGTGTTTTATTGCCATCATGGCCACCTCTGTACTGCTCCTGATTAGAGTCAGGCATAAACAGGGTCAACCAGCTTTGCCAAAGAAGCACCTCTCCCAGCGTGACATAGACAGAGGGTTCAACTCCTCATTTATTGGGGATAGCCACAGATCTATTCTTTACGGGGGGCAGCTAATAGAAGACACATGATGGGGGTCCCTCACTAATTAGATCCTTCATTGTGGCACAAAGCAAAAAGTGGCAGTGGGAAAACGCCCTAAGCCTGTTTTATAGCCCCTGAGGAACCCCTGAGCGTCAGTGATTACATGTACAAATAAGTGTTAGATCACACTGATAAATGCAATTTCCTCATTGGTGCTTGAATCAAAACAAGGAAGGACCTGCAGGAGTAACCCTTTACCTCTCTGAACTGGCGGGAAATTGCCTATCTCTAGTTTCCAAACCCTCATCACATATTGATAGGGGAAAAAGACTGGAATGATATTCAGTGGTCTGACCATCCATTAATGCCTCTCCAGACTGGCCTGACATAAGAGGAGGGACTTCGGGAGGAAATACACCTAAATACTCTTTCCAAAAGGCTGTTGTTTATGTATGAAATGCTAATGAGGTTTCCATTTAGATTGCCTGTTCCATTTTGAAAGGAACTGCGGATGGTAAATTAGAATAAAAGGACTGAGACGGAATATGGTGGGGAGGATTTCTTTTATTGACAGAGATTAGGGTTTTACCTACTTGCATAATTGGTCAAAGTGTGCACATGGCTGCGTTTACATACAATAAAAAAAGGATCATTACTCTAAAAACTGAATGTTTCCGAGCGTTACCCTTCAACAAAAGCTTTGTCAGTGGAGATTTTGTCGAGAAGAGCCTTTATTCTTCTGAATGCTGTGATGACTAATGAAGACTGGATCTCCGATTTGCCAACGCCACACGAACCCACACAGAAACCCTCTAGATTTTGTCTCAGTTTTGATGTGCTAATTTTATTTATTCGGGGCATGTAGCGCAGACAAATGCAGGTGTGCAAATGAGGGCAAACACAACTGCACACACACAGATGGCAATTACGAATACGTATAGAGGTTTTTTAAGGCCAAAGTGGCTCTTTCTTACCCTGACAGGAGGGTTCAGGGCTTATGTGTCACTCTCTCTTTATGTACCAATTTTCTTTTTGCACTGTTTCTGTAACGATTCCCCCCAGAGCTTGTGGAGCATACACTCAGGATTAGACATTTGCTGCGGGGTGCAGCAACATCATAAACCATTTCCATTACGGCTGTTATCCTCCTAAGTACTCAGAGTGCCTATCCCATGTGGGCTTGACCTTTACATCTTTCTTGTACCAGAAGACTTTCAGTGACAGTGCTGCTGCTAGTTAAGATAAGGAACTTGAGTGTGGTCAACATCGTGGAAAACACTGTCAGTGCTGTCCACTGCACATCAGCACATCAGTCAGGGGAATTATTTAGCTGTGGAGGTTGGCTGTGTACCACTTACTT